ACAAACACCACTTCACATAAACGGCCGTAACTAATCACCAAAACAAGATATCAACAAACGGGTTGAAGGAAGTTACTCGGGAGGTTTCCGCGGACACAACGTTTCCAAGCGAATTAAAAATTAACAAACTGGAGACGCGCTATTTAAAAAGTTCGGGCACTTTTTGAACAACCCACGTAGGCCTACATTTTATTTAGATTTTAGAATTCACAATAACCATATAAAAAGCAATATGTTTTTGTTTATTTGTTTATTATATACTGTTGTCCAACAGAAAAGTAAACTATCTTATTTACAAATCTTTTCAAAATAGACAGTTTGACCGGGCCCTCCTAAAAACCGGGCCCTAGACATTTGTCTCATTTGTCTATGCGATGATCCGGCCCTGCCGCGATGTAAACTAGGTTATGCAATGGCGGCTTACACCGTGCGTAGTCGGTAAGTAATCCCATGAATTTTCGCTTATATCTATTATTATACGCTTCGCCCGCAAAAATTTCTGTCTGTTTAGGACACGTCTACTAGTGAAGTCTGTTAAGAAAGCAAAATTAGGAAAAAACGCGCCATGAATTAAAAGTAAACTTTTACCTTAATTTTATTTCAGTAACAATACTATAAATTTTCTATAACATTACAATAAATTTACAACAACATACCTAGATTTCCATTTTACATCACATTCTTATCGTACAGGTTTTTACTTGTTTTTCACATCTATATAACATTCCTAATTTTTTGATGCGCGTGACGGTGTTCACTAAGATTGGCTTTACTTTACCGCTAGACTTATTACACCACCACAGGATATCAAATTAGATTTAGAAAAACACTATTTTATTTTCAGAATGCATTTCGGACGGACAGGAATGAAAAAAGGGTGTAGACACCCTTTTTTCATTCCTGTCCGTCCGACTACTTTCAAGGGGACCCTGACAAATAAATTGTAAGTATTTTTTTTTTTGGTAATAAATAAAGTTCGGGAACTTTTTGAACAACCCTCGTATATGGATATATACGAGGGTTTCAAGTTTATTAAGCTTGAAACCCTCTTTCAAGCTTAATAAACTGCTTTTTGTCGAAAATTTCTGAAATTTTGCAGAGAGGTTTGTTTATTAGAGTTGATTTTGTTAAATTTTGGGGTTAGGGAGATAAAGCGGGTCGTGTGTATCTCCAGTAGGGTCGGAGTTAATAACGATTTTATTCGTTATTAGTATTTACAACTTTTTTTAATATATAAAACTCGTCCTTACCCTCAAAATTAAGCCGTTTGCATTTATAACAGTTAAAAATATAAAAAGTTATTAAAATGAAATATGATAACAAATGGCGCCAGCAAAATTTTAAATTTTGCGGGGAAAGTTGAGCAAATCGTTGCTGGTTTATTTATTTTAGAGATAATTAGTTCTTTAGGTAAAATTTTACGGAAATCTTATCCTGTACTTTATGAAGCACCATTTGAGGTACAGTAGTCCCTTGTTATATTGCAGATTCGGATATATCGCGCTGTTTTTTTTATCCCCAAATTTTAAAAGCACTCGAGTCAATAAATTTTAAAATATCAATTGCCATTGAATTTCTCTTTGCAACGAAACACCGTATTTTATTTCTACCCAGAGGCGGCGTAAGGCGTGGGCGACGTGGGCCACTGCCTACGGCCTCGCGGTCCGAGGGGCCTCGCGCCTCGAAAGTTTACGCATTACTTAAAAAAGTTGTTAACGTAACGGATAAATTTTACTCGTCAAAAAACGATAAATATATTGACATAAGAGATCAAGAAAACGAAAGGCTAATTCGTGAATCTCAAAAACATTATCACAATTTGTTTGAGAGATTAATTGATATCATTAATTTCTTATCCTCTCATAATCTGGCATTAAGAGATCACAGAGAATCTCTCAAGACAGACGACGGCACTAGGAATTCTGGTAATTTAATAGACTTACCGGTATTTAAATTGATATCCAAATTTGATCCTACGTTATGGGAACACAGGAAATGCATTAGTGACAAAGAACTTGCACACCATTATCTAAGCCACGATATTCAAAATGAATTGATCACATTGATGCCAAAATCAGTTACCGACGAAGTGATTCGTAGGGTAAAAGAGGCAAAATATTATTATTATTATTTTTTTTTTTTGATCGACTGCAGTAGAGTTGAACAAATGTGTTATCTTAAGATTTTGTAATACATCAACCGTCACAATAGAAAAAAACTTTATCGAATTTCTTGCTATCACTGAGACAACTGGAGAATATTTAACTAATTCAATACTGAGAGAGCTAGAAAATAATTGCTTAAATATTCAAAACTGTCGTGGCCAAGGATACGACAATGATGTAAATATGGTAGGCGTAAATAGTGGAGTTAAAACTCGAATTTTAAATATTAATCCCAGGGCATTTTTTACATCTTGAGGTTGTCATAGCTGGAATCTGCTGTTGGTAGACACAGCTAATTATTCTATGGCAGCAAAAACAGGTTTTTGGTTTATTTCAGAAAATTTATTTGCTACTTTCAAGTTCCAGCAAACGCTGGGAATTAATCAAAGGCAAATCAGAGCTTACTATAAAGCCTTTATCAGACACAAGGTGGGAAAGCGGAATCGAGGCAGTGAATGCCGTATTATTGCAATTTGATAATGTTGTTGAATGCATCAAAAGCTTAAACAATCAAACGGAACAACCAGACACACTCGGTGATTGTGATTCGGTTTTAAACGAAATGCTCAGTTTAGAATTTATCATATCATTAAGTGTGTGGTATGAGATATCATCGCGTGTTAATATCATAAGCAAATTATGGCAATCTGTACAAGTCCATTTAAGCATTGCTCTTGAACATTTGTCTACATTTTGTGACTGGATCAAAGAATATCGACAAACTGGATTCGAAAAATGCTTGTTTGACGCTCGTCAATTTATTGAGAATAGCAGTTATGAACTGCCAAAAGACTTTAAAAATGAAAGGGTAGCCAAAAGGAAAAGGATGTTAGATTACGAAGGCAGCGATCAACCTATACAGTCTCCCAAAAGCCGGTACGAAACAGATTTTTTAACACCACGATTGATTCTATAATAAGCAATAAGGATTCGAGATTTTTGTCTTTAAAGCAACATTTTGAAAATTTTGGTTTTCTCTACGCTCTAAGCGAGTTAAAAAATATCCCAAAAGAGCAAATATTAAAAAACTGTCAAGATTTACACTCAGTCCTGTGAGTGGGTGAGAGCAGTGACTTCCAACCTTACGAATTATACGAAGAATTACAAACAATGATCCCAAATTTACCCAACTTCATTAAAAATGTGAAACAGCTGCTCCAATACATAACAGAAAATAACTTGAAAGAAATTTACCCAATTATTTCCATTGTCGTTCGAATTTTGTTAACAATACCGGTAAGTACTGCCTACGCCGAAAGGAGCTTTTCAAAATTAAAACTAATAAAGAATTATTTAAGAAATACAATGGTCCTGGAAACACTTTCAGCATTGGCAGTTTTATCTATTGAAGCGTATATAGCATCTAAGCTGAATTATGATACAATTATTAAGGAGTTCAGTAAAGCTAAAAGCAGGAAATTTCTGTTTTTTAATTCCTTTTTTTTAATTTTTCTGTAATGTTAGTCAAAGAATATAGTTTGCATTTTTATAAATAAAAATTTGACAGTTTCAACTGCTTTTTATTTTATAAAATTCGTCTTCTTGCGCCACTAGAGGGCCTCGCGAAATGTACCTTGCTCACATCAAATTTAGGTCTTGCTCCGCCACTGTTTCTACCATTTTCCTTGAAACTACCACTGCGGGTGAAACAATAAATTCGTCAAGATCTAAATAAGCAAAGCAGGTGGACAAAATAATTATCATTTATGTTTCCTTTTTATATTTTGTTTTTAAATTGACAGTATTTGCTTTAAATGTCATTACAGTATTAAAGAAACAATGGGCGTTCGTGGTATCGATGTTTACGTAAACGTCATTTATTATGATATAACCAAGAATAAAGTTCAGTATTGAAAAACTAAGCTTATTTTAGAGTCACCATGGTATCAACATTGTGTTAATTATAATTGTAAAATTAATAGAAGCTCTGTAAGAATATTGTATAAAATGGAAAATTTGTTTAAAAGACGCGTGGTAGAACATCTTTGTATAATAGAACATGCAAATTTGTTGAATCAGAATGTCGGTCTTAACGTTGATGCATGCTGGGAAAAATTTATTTGTATAAAAGGAAATAAGTGTCTGGTTGTTGGATAATCCACTGATGAGGCTGTAAAGGCGAAATGCATTTGGAACGTGATTTGAAAACTATGAAAATAAAAGAATTAACATTGGTTAAAGTAAAGTATCTTTGTTGATTACTATTTGTCCGCTAATATAAATCACTCGAAGTCGGTCTAGGAAAGAGTGTTTTAATTTACTCGTCTATTTTTAGAAATTATATTTTTAGTATTCTTACCGATCCCATTGTTTTATATTTTTATATTTCTTCAACAATTA